TAGGCTATTCCCTGAGCCTCTATCCGTTTCAGAGCAAGAGCATCCCCTTCCCGGCAAGGATGCCTGCAAAGGCCACGTGCCTCTAGGCCAGTGACTGTGTCTCAGTTACTGAGTCATCAAGGACATGAAATTAATTTTTCATTTTTTCCTTAGTCACGGGAAGGCATTTATGGTTCTCGTGGAAGGTGCTGCCATGGCTTGAACTTATTTTTCAGTTAAACTCAATGGAAAAATTAAAATCAGCTGTGGCCCTGCCTGGATCTGATTGGGAAGCTGTCTAATCTCCGCAACAGAGCGTGGCTAAGGGTCTTCTGGAGACTCTCACTCCTTCCCTGTGGAGAACCTGAGCTGGGCTTGTAAACGGGAGGGAGAGTCTTTAGTGCAAAATGTTTTTTTCCTCATTTAGATGCCCAAAGGTTGTAGCTGAGCTGACCATCTTTCTGTCTGATCCTGACAAGCACAGAGCCCAATTACTTTTTTTGTCTTAATGTGTGAATTCTGTGCATGTTACCTGTTTTCATCATCTTGCTTCTAAAGCCTGGTAAGTGATCAATATGAATTAAACACACTAATTTATCGGTGAACAGGCAGCAGCCTGTCCTTGGAGCAGCGATTTTGTGTTTTACATCTATTTCAAGGAGGGTGTCCCCATATGAACCTGTGTACCTTCTCCATAGCTTTTCATTGTTTCTCTTGCAATACTCTAATAAGTTTAAAAATTGAGCAGCTTAAAAAATACCGGAGTTACTCCCAAATGAGGTGAACGCTCAGTGTTTTATATTCCCTGGCACATCTGATCCAGTTTTATCGCAGCAGAATATGTTCGCATCTGCTCCCAGTCCTGTGAGTCTTCTCTCTGTTTTGTGGAGTAATTGAAAAATATGGTTAAAGATAATTATTTTAATTGCCTATTGACTCGGGAAGATTCCTGATAGCAAAGAGGTGAATCGAATGGGTAAATCAAAGGCCCTGGATTTCCTGCATCAGGACACTCAGGTGGTGTGTGGGGGATGCAAAGGAAGCATCGCCAGCCTCCTGTGAGGGCTGCGTGGCCTGTAGGAGGGAAGGTATGGTTTAATTGAATTGAATTTAATGCACAGAGGACAGGATCTGTGCATGGTGCCCACTTGCCTGTGCAGTGTTTGGGAGCGTTATTATTCCGCAGAATGATCAACCCCAGAGAAATATCTGGGCTTTGCTGGGACTCCTGTTTGTTCTAGCTGTGAGCAAAAGTACAGGGTTCATTCTGGGTTTAAAACCTTAGATACAATAATAAAGAGCACATATATTCAATAGGGTAAAATACATAACACCTAGTCATATAAGAAAGCAGCAATCTGGAGGGAAGGGAATGTTAAAGAAGAATGATTAGTAATAATAATTGCTATCCATGCTGGAATTGGAAAACACTGTCTATATTCTCTGCTCTGTCAAAGTTTTAGGCTTAATGTTAGGAAAATTTTCTCCACAGAAAGAGTGATGAAGCATTGGAACAGGCTGCCCAGAGAAGTGATGGAGTCACCGTCCCTGGCCGTGTTCGGGAAACGTGTGGATGAGGCACTTCAGGACATGATTTAGCAGGCATGGTCGGGATGGGTTTCTGGTTGGACTTGATGCTCTTGAAGGTCTTTTCCAACCATAATGATCCTACGATTTCCTGCATGGCCTTTGGCACTCTATAATTGTGGACGGGCCTTTCCTCCCCCTCAGAAGTGCGTGACTTGCCCTCACGCAGGGGCAGCAGGGTGGATTGCTGTCGTGCCCTGCTGGTAGGGACGTGCAGGGACGCAGCGCCGGCGAGCTCTGGCAGCCTGCTGGGTGCCACAGAAGCCTGCGGGAGGCCAGCAGGGTCTTCGGGGTGCGTATCAGCAGGTGTTGCATTTGCAGGAACACGGTTTCTTCAGCCAGGTGCTACGCCATCATACGGCGTTATACTTATTTGTCCTTAGCTTATTTCAGACTCCATTTACGTTTCTTTTTGTAGATGAGTATAAAAAGCCCTTTGCTTCCAGTTTATCGGAGGTGTGTCCTCCTTTGCTTTTGCTTTCTCGTCTTTGGTTGATGTGTTAAGGCATTTTATGGTCTTTTTCTCTTGCATGTGACTAAGTGTAGTTGTAAGAAAATGAAAAATAATGCTCTTGATTAAAGTGTCTGACTCTTCACTTAGGGATGAGAAGCAAAGAAGGATTCAGGCTGAGCATGTTTGTTTTGACAGTTGTGAAATTTGCCATCCTGTTTGTGCAGAGCCAAACCACACTCTCGTGTCACTCGCACCTCTCTGAGCAGATGTAGATCAGTGAGGTCTGATTTGCAAGATGCACTTTTTTCCCCTACACCCTGCTTTCCTGCACGTGCAGACCCACGGTGGTCAGTTGGGATTTTACCCGATTTATCCCCATGTGAGCATGAACTGAGCAAAGCTGGGTGGTTCCAACAGTGATCCATGGTTTGCTGAGGGTGCCCCGTGCTGCGGGAAGCTGGGTGGAGGGAGCCCACGTTGGACAGGCAGGTGGGTGCTGTCCCAGGCACTCGCTGCACAGTACCCAGGCTGCAACCTCCCTCAGGAATTAGCGGAGCCCTCCAACAACATCCTTTGTCTTTTGACTGAATGCCTCCAAAATGCCTCCCTTTTATCCAGTTTTCCATTGCCAGTTGTATCCAAACTGGTGCTGTGGGGCTTGGCCCCAAGCCAAGCGCTCCTGCTGCTGCAAGCGGTGCTGCTAGGGCGAGTTGGGGGGGCTGGCAGCGCAGCCCGGCTGTGCCGTGGCAGAAGGGCTGAGCTCCGTGCAGAGCCAGCCTGGCAGCTACAGCTGGGCACACGTGGGTCAGGCTCTGTGGGGCAGTAGGCGCTGCCAGCCCCTCGCAGGCACTGGCAATTGCCAACGGTGCCAGATCCTCTCCGTGGCTGCAGAAAGAGCCGTGCAGATGCTCCAGGCCCCCTGCTCTGCCTCTCACGTCTGCTCATGCTGTTCCCACACCCATGGCACACAGAAAAAGGTTTGGCGAACTCATCAGCTCTTTTCCAGCCTACTGCATTTGTCTGATCAATATTATTATCCTTAATTCCCTAGGTCTTGCCCCTCTACTGCTTGTAACTTACCATATTTTTATTTATTTTTATCTTTATTTCCTGTAGTGTACTGAAATGGTGTGAGAGAAGCATTTGTTCACACAAATAAGTCAAGGTAACAGCTTCCCTCCCTGACCACATGCTCACTTCTGTTCCAAGTCTTAATTAAAATGGTACTAAGGGAAGCAAATCAATTAACAGATACCTTACAAGATGGTTTATTCACTTACAAATATACACATACACAATTACTTACAAGAATCACATTACAGCTTTAGTTTATCTGTTAGCAAATGCTGCTAATGAACTGCAGTGCTACAGAACTGGGTAACAGACACCTAGGGAATACATGCAAATTATTCCAATATATCACTTTTCTGTAAAAGAAACTTTACATTTTGTTATATAAAATATGGAAAATTACAATTGAAATAAATAATATACCTCCCTTTTCACATTTGGAAAATTACCTGGTTTACTAAGCTCAGAAAAAAAAAATCCTTTCAGTTACAATAACAAGTTAGCACAGTAGCCTATTCTTTATAGAAACAAAATCCTGGGATATCTGCTGCTGTGATCTGCCAGGGCGCTGACCCTGGACCAGGCTGGGCTCAGCAGCTCTGCCTGCAGCACAGTCAGAAAGCTGAGCGCTGGATGCAGGCCTGGGTTTCCACATTTTTTTCAAGTCGTATTTCTTGATAATGCACCCAGCTTCCAGGCTGGGCTTCAGTTTAACATTCTCTTTATTTAAAAAAAAATAATAATAACAACTTCTGCTATATTATGGTGACAAAAAAAAATGGGGGGAAAGAAGAGTATTTTGATTTGAAACTAGTGTGAGAGCAGAAACTGACTCATGAGTTGGTTTGGGAAATGATGCTAGATGACAGATTAAAAAATCCACATGCCCACAGACATCAATGTGACCTAGAATTTAGACTTATTTACAGTTTGTGGTCTTCAGATGCGGCTAGAGATGCAATAAAATAGCACATCCCCTTTGGAGTTGTCTTGTAACAGTATGGTGTTGCAGTTCTGCCTATACAATACTGTGACATGATTTAATTATGTGCCAGCCATCTGCCCAAGTCTTTCAAGCCTCTGGTTCCTGCTGGGTTTCCTGAGAAGAGCAGTAAAAAGAGCAGAGGCTGCTCAGTGCAGAAGTCCTGAACTCCCAAAGCCCCCACAGTGGACACTTGCCGCCCTGTCTTTAGGAGATGAAAGTAAGCCTGGTATGAAATACAAAAAAAAATGATGCTTTTCTTGAGCCTCGTGGTGATAACGTCTGTTATGATCAAATATTTACGTGAATTGCTGCATTTTTGAAATAAAAACGAGGCTTAGAACAATCAGAAGAGGAAAAATCTGCATCTATAGAGTTATTTTCATAATAAGTCTAACTCTGTACTATAAACTATATAAAAACTCTACCATAGTCTTTTTGTAAGAGTTGGGATATGTTCACAAATCAACGTGAGTTTAATGAATTTATAGTCATTTAAACTATTTAAAATGTTCTGAGACAATGTTCTCATTTTTCTTCTTATCACTTGTCCTATAAGAGACTTGTAATTGGAACTAGGCAGAGCAGTTTGATGAATACAGAGTCCACATAATACACTGAACTAAGGCAAGAATGGAGGGGTAGGAGACTGGGTTTAGGCACAACTTCTGAGTGAATTTAGTGATTAATTGTTTTATATTAAAAATAAGGATAGGAGGATTTTGGAAATGTTAGCTTAGCTCGTTTGTAGAATGCTGAGAGGAAATGTTTTATTTCAGATGTCCAGAAACTTTATACTTTGGGTATAAAAAACTGTTTTGATTTCAAGACTCTAAAACCAAAACATTAAAATTTTATTGCAAAGTGGTATTTTTCATTTTAAGTGACCACAGTTTATTTAAAATGACTGAAATTAGTATCATGACCTGAAGTTAAACAAAGCCAATCCTAAAGCTAAAAAGAGATATCACTTTAGCCTGAATGATTTAGATCAACACTAAATATTTTCCTGAAAAACTTGGGAAATCTTGTTTTGCTTGATCTCAGATCACTGATTTTCTGAGTCACTTCTTTCATTATTTACCTTAGTGGAAGTACAAGTTTGGCTGTGAATTCTGCTGCTGAAATGCATTGCTATTTTTTTGATTACTCTGGATTTCATTGATTTTAGAAATCAATCACGTTCTTATCTGAGGCTCACCAGGGCCTGTTAATGAGCAGACCTCATCCCTTTTCTTCATATATTTTGGTGATATCCACGGAATTGGGGACTGCAGGCTTGCTGTAGACGAAGAAGGTTGGCAAACTCTGCAAACTCGTCCTGTAATCAGTCCGCCAGGCTCTCCGTGAGAGAGCAAGCAAAGGAGCTGTTGTTGGCGAGAGTCCTGCCTGCAGACAAGCGGTTGCCACTGATCCTCACACCAGGTAACTGCTGACTGCAAAAGGATTATTGATCATTTATGCTTTGTTGCCCTGGTACGTTGACGTCTCTAAATAGAGGGGGGGAAAAAAAAAAAAGGGAAAAAAAGGAAAGAAAAAAAGAAAAAAGGAAAAGGTGTTGCGAGTTAACAGTAAAATCTGTCCTTTTTCCCCCCTGCAATGATCTATAGCACCATTTTAAAAGCAGAATTGGGAGACAAGGAGATAAAAATCACAGGGAATCTACAAAATTGTCAAATTGTTGTTGGAGTCACTGTATGTACATTCATGAAGTTCCTTCCACTTACCTTTATTTTTCTCCAGGTGTTTCTTGTATCTTTGGAGCATTTGTTTTTCCCTGAATAAACTAACAGACCAGAAGTGTGATTCTGGCTGTGGTGGTGACCACCAGCTGCTCTCCCCCCTGTCACACAGGAGCCCACCCTAGCAGTGTGTTTTAGGCCTGGGAGGGCTGCTCATACTGTGGCGGGGGACAAGGGGGAGCCAGGTGGCCTAAGCATCTCTTTGAAGCTGCCTCCATGTGGGGCTTTGCCCCATGGCTTCACTTCTGGGTTTTCATTTCTCCAGCAGCCAGCAGTGGCAGTACTGGCTGATCTACTTTCCTCTGAAGACTGTGAAAGTTAGTTAAATTTGTACAATACTTTAGAAGGAAGAAGGGATTTGCCTTATTGAACTTGAGCTGTCATAGGTGCCAAGATTTTGTCTAGGACCTCAGTAATCCCTGGAGAGAAACACTGGTACTTCTATCCTACAGCAGAGTTACAGACAGAGGAGGAATTCCCACTTTCCCTGCTCACTGGTACTTCCCTGTTACCCGGTGGGAGCAGCTCCTGGATCTATCCTGCTAGAGGGTCCTCCTTGGAGCCGCTGCTGACACGGGACAGCAAGCAGCAAGACGGCACAGCCATGCTGCAGGGCGGAGAGCCTTACGTTACACCTTGGCCTTGTGTTCCGGCATGGCAGGTCTGCCGCGGGACCAGGCCCCACAGGGACCTGCCTTAGGCTACACGGACTGTCTGTGGGTGCCACTGTGGGCAAGTTGGCGGCTTTGGGCTCCACAGGAGCCCAGGTAACCCCACAGCCCTTATTGCTGCCTCCCTTTTCCCTGTTTGTCCCTTTCTGTTATCCTGGCTTTGCGAATACTCTGACTGTGCGTCTGCTGTCACTGCACCTTCCCACTAAGCCAGACCCCCCATCCTCTGGCACATACCTGTTCTGGCTTGATCCCATATTGGACCTGCAACGCACAGAGAGTGAGACGTTAGTTATGACTGCAGGAGCACTAACCCAAAATGAACATTCAGGATATCATCAGGTTAAGAGTGGGCAAAATACAGGAACTTCTCTTCCTTTCTTCACTGCTCTTGAGTCTTTTATTCAGTTTTACTCCATCTAGTGTCAGTGGCTGGAAATAAGACCCATCTGTGCCTTACAGCCCTCAGCTGTTTATATCCTTGGATCTCATGACTCAGCTGGGAATTTGTATTCATTGCAGTCCCCTTCCTTCAATACTACTGAAGTGATTTTGATGACTTTGCTAAGAAGAGAATTCTTCAGAGATTTGGCGAGTAGGGATGTGTTTCCTGTAATTTTCCTTACTTTCCTTACTTTCCTTTTTCTGAGCGAAACTTTGTTACATGTGTTTCATGTGTTTTGTTGTTTTTTTTTTTTTTTTAAGAAGAAAGCTATATTGAAATTTTCTGTTAGTGTGAAATTCACTGCACTAACCATTAGTGCTCTTAAGAAACAGCTAAGACCTGAGTCTCACCTTTCTAGCTGGAACTGGACATGCAGCCAACTGCCAATGAGTCTGGAGGAAAGAAGGATGCCAATTCCAGCCGCTCTGAGCTAGCGGGAGGGAATCAGCACTGGCTCAAGGATGCTGGCTCAGCACGGTCCCCTTCCCAGGCTGGGCAGGGGGAAATGGCAGGGATCTGCAGTCACCATTCCCCTCGTGCTAATCTCTCTCAAATAGTCTTATTTCTCTAAAAAATATATTGCCTTTATGTCATGTAGATTTTCAGCAGAGCCGTTTCCTAAGGCTGTGGACGTGCCACAGGGCTACTGCACTAGGAGAGAGGGGAAAGGCCTAGGTGGGATAGGGCAGAGCAGGACTTACGCTGGGGGTGGCACCATCCTCGGTTACATTGACTCTTTCCACCCCTGCCTGCAGGAAAGCAAGCTCATCCAAAGACACTGGTTTACAGACACTTCAAAAGCAGCATTGCCACTAGAGAAGTAGTTAAACTCCTTCTTTCCTCCTTTCCTCTGCCAGCACAAGCGTTTCTGCGACTGCAGTAAATTGGGTTTGGCAGTGTGTCAGGGATTTCTTTTAAGTACAGAAACAAACAACCTACTACTTTCCAACCAGTGTAGTGGGGGTTTTTTTCCTATTTATAATTCCTTTTTTTTTTTTTTTTTTAAGCTGCAGGATTCTGTGAAGTGGCTTTAAACTCATCTTACACCCATATTGACAGCTTTCACCCTGCTTAACTTCTATAAATCCTTAGAAGTAGCTCAGTGATCCCCAAGCTTTTGCAGCTTAGTAGAAGCTTTTGCTTTTACCTTACTACAAGGTGAAAGTCAGCATCACTTTCTGTAATACTTTCTCATTTGTTTTGGCTTGCCAATTGCTCTGATGAATTAGCTTACTCAAACTCAAAGAGGATGCAGGAAATTCTGTGAAATGGACTATGCAGGAGCTCTGATTTGATGGCATTTTATTTTTTTAGACAAGACCTGTGGAAGTGTGGATCTTTTGCTTTGGGAGATTTTGTTTTTTAAAGTTATTCAACAATAACACATCAGTAGCACTTTTATTCTTAGCTAAACCCCTGTTATCATCTCTGTTTTCTCCTGACAAGCCCAAGTTAGCATGAAACTACTTGGCCTGAATGGCAAAGGTCCTCCTTGGGGGTGCGAGTCTACCTGCTCCGTGGCTTCTAGCATCTATATTATCCTGCATGTCCCTTGGCAGTAGCAAAGAGGGTGGGTAGAAGAAGCATTTCTGTTTTACAGTAGCTCCAGGGAAAGGGCGAGTTACTCAGTTATTGCTGGAATCAGTGGCACCAGCCCGCTGGCCAGCAGGGACCAAATGGCTCTGGAATTGCCTGCAACAGGTGTCTGGGTATCGGGACGAATGCATTCCCCTGACTCAGCAGTTTGGGACCAACTCTCACAATCAAATGATTTAGAGCTATTCAAGACTAGCCTCAAACAGTTGTGCAGAGGAGTAGGAAGGAATAAGGATTCCTCTGCATTTGACAGCTGTGAAAAGGTCAACTGGAAAGGCAGCCCCAGCTCTCCAGAGAGCAGAGGAATCCTGGGCCAGATGCTTTCCCAGAGCATGTGGAGAGCAGCCAGGCAGGAGCAAAAATAGCTAGAAGAGTGGCTCTGCCCTTCAGGCTGGTAGCTAGCATGAGTGAAGCATGCTGTATCCTGGAAAGGGCAAAATGAATCATTTTGCTCCTAGTAATCCAGCCAGTGTATAGATGCATGTATATAAAACTGCCTGTGTGTGTGTAGGTGAAGTTTTCATTCCATGCAGGAATAGTGCTAAGAGAAACCAAGGCCTGGAGATGCCCGTAGATCGGCTTACTGCTGCTTTTTAAAGCCCTGTGTCCCTAACATGGTGCAAAGCTTAATGCCTTTGTTTCTGAGTATTGATATAAAGATGAATTTCATTTTACAAAAAGGATAACCTGGACATAGTAACATGTCGAAAGCTGGGCAGAAGAACAAGTTCTACTAGACTGGGTAGAGACAGAATCAGGTAGAAAATCCAGTGTACTGCTTTCTCTCTCTGTCATTATTGCCTCTACATAGAATGGCTATTTACACTTTGTTTTTGAAAATGTATCTGTTCAAGAAGATGAGCTAGCTATTTCTGGGGACATTTGCTCATTTTTTTACATTTACACAAATGTAAGTCCTTTACTTAGACTTAGAGTGTAGGGACTGAGTGTCTTTGCCAGCTTTGCTTTCCCTTTCTTGTAAAACAATAAGTTAGGAAAAGCGTGCTGATCTGTTGATGTGTTCGTATAACATATTAGTTAAGGAATGAATGACCTTGTGAAAAGTTCCTGGGAGAAAGATGTAAAGTAACATAAAAACTCACGATCAACCATTCAAAATTTATCTGAGGCCACCAGACATACCGAAGATTGTGATGAATTTAATGGCTGACTTTCTCCAGATCCCAGAAAAACAGTCCCCCAGAGTTTTCTAAAGGGAATATTTCTGGGAGAGGAGAAAAATAAAAAGTTTACTTTAGGAAAGCAAAGATAGATGCACTCGGTGGCCCTGTGGACCTGGATTGTTGCGGGTTCCTAAACCTTCAGGTGACTAGCAGGTCACTGCTAATCCTTTTTTCTTTGATGCTTCACTTCTGTTGTTATCAGGCACTTTAGGAAGGTGTGTGGGAAGGCTGCTTTGGTCACAGCTCCTGCCAGGAGGACCAGCAGCACTGAAGTTGCTTGGCCTGCTCCATGAGTTCCCAAGAAAGAGCATGGGTTAGAGCAACCAGTACCAGTCACTGTTTCCTACTCCTTTTGTATGAAAATCTTCTCTGGAGAACAAATCTTAGTTTCTCTGAGTAGAAACTGGTAAAAAGAGATTTCTTTTGCAGATGTATTTTTAGCATCCTGGTATTTCAAGTACTTTTGCCTGTGAGTTTGCCTGTAGTAGCGTGGCATTATATGTTTGCATCTTAAGCAGATATGATTTCAATGGAGAGTAGAGTGGCTGAGACAGTATCCTTCACTGGGTGGAGAGGGAACAGATAAAGTTACATGTGAATAGTTATCTGAGGCAATGGGATGCATTTCAAAGCCCTGTGTCCTGCGCAGTCTGCACTGTAAATCCTAATCCTTTTCCCTTTTGCACTGTTCTTCCTAAGGGCAAGGTCTCCTTTGTTTAAATGAGTTTTTACCTACAGATTTGAATGTGTGAATATTGGCCCCAGTTTCAGGTATTCCCGTATCAAAACTAGGTTTCCTCTTAAATTTATTTGTGAGTTTAAACTCCAGTGATCAGAAAAGCTATACCTCTCATTTGCAACTGATAAAATCAGTGCAATATCAGACTTATATCTGTCTGCTTGATTGGCTTCCTGTTTGGTAGCTGCATTAGGAACCAGTCTGTGTTATATAGATCTAAACAAAACTGAGAACTGTTTTCCTCTCCAGAATAGGAGTATGTTCTTTCAGTCTCACTCTAAAGCAGCTTGAAGGCTCTGAAATCATTAGATCAGACCCTGCTACATTCACTATCTCTATCTGTCAGTGAAGCTGGATATAGGCTCAGGCATGGCCAAATGCTAGGAAAAAGGTTTGGGGCTCCTATACGAAGGCTGATACAACCCTGCTGCTTGGAAGGAGCTCAGCTCTGCACTGAAACTTGTGCTTGTTAGTCCCAGCCTAGTCTTTGCAGTGTCATCCATCTCTGATGTTTATATTTTCCAAGTGGATGATTTCACCTCCTATTTAATCCATAGTGCTATTTTTAGAGTTAGACAACGTGCAGACTGGAGGCTTTCACAAAGGGATGACTGGTTCTCCTTGGCTTTTGAGGGGGCGGTTAGATGGAAGAAATGAGCCATGACTTGGAAGTCTGTCTCAGCCTCAAAGGTTATCATTTCACATGGGTTTCCATACTAAGTTCAACTGAAGGCCCTTTGCAGTTTGCCGGCATCCTGAGAGTCTCTCTAGATTTGTGCAGAACGTGGCTGTGCTCTGCAGGTGTCACTCACTGCCGTTAAATGAGGAGGCTCAGTGGCAGAGAACGGCAGGCCTGTCACCATATGCACCACCTACAGAAGTGGCTGGACTAAAATGCTCCTGATTAACTCAGATCTGATGAGCCAAGCTGGCTAACATGACGCATGCTGATCTGGACCTGATGTTCCAGGGAAATATCCCTGTGTGGAGACACCATTTGTTGTAGGCAGCACACCCGAGTTCACTGCATGTTCTTGGGAGCTGTGATGAGCCCTTGCACACATGGGAATTCACCAGGACATCACATATAGCACTATATAATTGTTCGTGGGAGTGATCTCTTGTGCTTGTTTCATGGGGGCATAGGGAGAAAGGAGAATTACCTTCCATGGAAACTATTTTCAATTATAGTAATTTAGGAAGTATGTTACAGGCTAGAACTTGCCCGATGGCATTACCCTTGGTTATAAAAATTTGGTGTTACAACATGTGTTCATTGCTCATGCCTGGAATGCATAGATATATTCTGTGGTCAGAATGAGGGGAAAAAAAAATCAGAGGGCTTTTCCAGTTAAAAGACGTAGCGTGCTCCAACTTAATGGAAGTTCTGCATTAGCTGAGAATAGTGCAAAGACTGTGACGTGCAGCTGAGCAGTTATGATTCTGTGCAGAAAACAGCCTAAAAGATGCACTGAGCTTATTTCCAAGCTTCCTCTGTTTGTCTAAAGGGAGTCTGACTCACAAGAGTACCGTGTTTTCCCAGCATAGTCTAGCAAAAGAAAGCAAAGTCAGTCCCTTGGAAGAAATCTAATGGAAAAACACAAGAGAATATCTAGAGGCTACTCTGTCTAGCAAAAGAAAATCACTGACATGCTTGGCACCTGCGCTATGCAGCTGCCAAGGTCCTTCTCTCCTCCTTCAAATATCAAAATGACTTCTGCATTTCATTAAAACCTGATCTCATGCCAAGTGATTTACAAGGGTGACTAGGAAACCCAGTGAGCTTCATGGACAGTTTTGGTATTTGTTGTTACTTGGGATGCTTTCAGACAATAAATACCTTTCTGCTATTGCAGCAGGTTTAAAATCTGTACCTTTTCCTCTTTAGTAAACTTCTGTGTCCCCGTCTCTCCATCCTTCTCCTTGTCCCTGCATGCCTCTCTCTTTGTCTCCTTCTGTCAAAATAAATCTGGCTGCCATGCACTGTAGTTAACTCAAAATATTGCTAACATTAAATGTGCCCAGACATTTTTATTAATACATTAAACTTGCATGAAATCTAGGCATTATAATTTAGCAAGCTTACACCAAGATGGCATTTGAGACTGACAAGAGCTATTAATTAAAAAAGGGACATTAAATAATTGTCAGTTGACATCTAAATTACTGTTTTGTTAGTTGACAGCAGCCTGCCTCAAACCTCTTACACTTCTTGAGTATGTGTAAATACCCCATTGAGTTTAAGGGCATCCCATTATGAATTGATTGTTTAAATCATAAGGCTATAGACCTGTGTAAATAAAGTGGTAAATGCTGTTAATTACTTCACAATGAGCTGCCAATGTCATGTGGGGCTAGAAACACTTCTCTTTTAAATATTTTGGAAACTATCAAGGCAGAGATTGATCAGAATGCTTCCTGATTTAAGTGTAAACATGAACTTATCATATCCTAGTTAAATCATTATCAGCTAATGAGGAATCTAACATAAGTGAAGATTGTCTACATCGAGGCCCTCCAGGAACATAAGCACATGTGACTACACTGATTGCAATAGCGCTGTGCTGGGTGATACCAACTCAGCATCTGTCCCAACCAGGGAGAGAAATTATTGGGAGAATTGAGGCACTTGTATGAATTATGGAAAGGAATTTAAAACAAAATTTGTCTGAACATGAATTCAATGAGTGCTTTTTCATTTGGACTAAGCTTTTCTTCTGAACAAACCATGACTATCACTAGTTGAGCAGAAAATTGTCTGCAGATGATAGGTCTCCAGTTCTAAAGAGGTGATATTTTGCTTATTATATATCACTGAAGGATTCATTTGCCTGTATGACTGGCGGCTACAAGTCCAAGATCAGGTGATTTCAGATGGTGGACTTCGTTTCATCAAAGGATTTTCCAGGCCTAGCCATTACCCTAAAAAATGCTATGAATTAGATTCTACAGGGAACTGAAGCAAGTAGTTAAAATCAGTTCAGACCTAATTGACACTTGTCTCTCTGGTGACCTCAATAAATGGGAAACTATTCTCTTGGCCTACAGGGAAGAATAAATCTGACAAAAATGAACAGAATTGGGATGTTCTTGAGGAGACTTCTCAGTACTTTTAATACTGTAGTACTTGTAATGCTTATACAATTAATACCTCAATACTGGTTTCTGGGGAATCGTTTTTTGTTGTTATTTTTGTTATTTTCAGAACAGCTACTTCAGAACAGTTACTTTCAGAACAGCTATACAAACATCCTCAACAAATCAGATTAACACTGTTGATGTTTTCTGTTTCAGTCTTTTGTTGTAGTCATCGCTCCTTTCTTTGTCTATATTCTCCCCAGTATACCAAAATAGCTTGCTGGGCATGGTATAAATACATCTTTTCTTTCTCCTGGCCACATGAGTGTCCTAATTTGTTTGAGGTTGATACACAGAAAATCTGAGTGTTTTGTTAGAGAACAGACTGAACAAAATGTGTTAATAAAAAGACAACATTTTGTGAGTTAGCTGTGTTAGGCTGTGGAACAGTCTCCCTGGGAAAATGACAGATGCTCCGTGGCTGGGGCCCTTCCCTGTTAGGCAAAACATTGAAGTACTTGCTGTAAAGAGAGCTCTTGTTTTGATCTTCAGCCGAGTGTTTACATATGTTGTTTAGCCTCTATGAAGAATGACCCTGATGGGGACGAGCCCATTAGTGCTTCTATCTACCTCCCTCAGAGAGGCCAAGAGCCTTTTTTTCAGGTCACTGGGTACAGCTGTTGCACGCAGTTCATGAGAATGCTGATTAATTCGTGCATTTTTTACTCATTTATAAAATGTTGTAGAGGGAAGCAAATTGTATCTATACATGTGGCTTACTATGCTCCTAAAGACCCTCTGTACACGTGCACCCTACTGCCTGCCTCTCAGAGGAGACAAGGAGTGGTGATAGCCTAGGCAGTCTAGCACAGCCTCCTGGGCCTGGGGATGAGGCTCACACCTTGCTGGGCATGGGAGGGAGGAAGGGGAAGGGTAAAACTGCATCCCTTCCCCTAGGAATGACTGCTGCATAGCCGTATGCCATAAGGCAGGTTGAAGGCAATTCCCAGAACTGAGATCTAGGCACAAGGTGAACATCCAACTCAGCATCTTTGAAACAAGGCCTTTGGCTTGCAGCCCTCAAAAATCACTTTTTTTTTTTTTTTTTTTTTTTTATCTTTGTGAGTTAGCTATTACAATAGATAACACAAACTAAAACATCAGCTGAGATTTCTTTCCTAATTCTGAAATGTCAAAATCTTCTTCTATGTTGTTTCTTTTTTTTCTTTTCCATGCTGTTCCAGTAGATACAATTTAGACAGCAATTAAACATCATGGTTTGTGTGTTCCATTACACCTTAGAAAACCCCCGAGCAAGGAGCCTTACCTTCTATCCATTTTGCCATCTGATTCTAAAGAGAGAATAGGAAAATGTGGTTAGTTAAGACATCAGGAACAGATTGGTGATAAGCCTGTTCAGAAGCTGTAGGGATGAAATCAGAAGTTAGAGTAGGTAAAGTGGCTGAAGATCCAGCTATGTTTTGTGAGACCAAACTCTGATATTAGTGGTACCATGCAAGCTTCCCAAACCCTTCTTAATTCTTCCAGATGGAGTATCTGATATCAATATTTTCAATACTGTAACTTTGTTAATATTTTGGCTATTTGGAGCTAGAGCGTGGTACATCCCCAGAGCGTCATGAGGGAAAGCTATGAGGACAGATGCTTAATGAGTATCACTCCCGTTAGCACTGCGGTGCAGTGCCAATTAGGGAAGCATCAGCCACTTGTCCTACAGAAAGCAGCATCACATTGTCATTTGTGTCCCCATGAAGTACGGGGGAGTTCAAGTTGCAAAATCCTCTTTTAAAAGACCTGCATCCCACTCCTGGTGGAGTGGCTCACCAGGTGAGCCGAGACAGTCTAAGCCACAACAAGCTCAACGATCAAGACTGTTTTACTCTCCTTTTCTACTGAGCAAAACTCTGTGACTGCTGTTGAAGGTGTGTGTCACAGTGCTTTGCTGAATGAGTAGGGTTAGACAGTTCTGGCATACTGGGAAATCACCTATCGTTTGTCATATGAAAATTAATGCAGATGTAGTCATAGAAGCAAATGGCTATGGATATAGAGGATGGCCAGGCAATTCTCAATCCTACGCTGTCATTTCCTGTCCTCGTGGCTCCCTCTATCCATTTTCCTTGTTTAGTTTCTGTTGTTTTGTTTTGTTTTTGTGGTGAAAACTGGTGACACTTATGAGAATTCCTTCTTTTTTTCTAGAGGCAGATTGCGCAGAGTTGGCACTTTGTATGCAACTGGAGCTGAAAGGCAGCTTTTTCAAATTCACCATGGAAATGCCATACAGAGAATAATGCTTTTGGTCCCCTAGCTCTCTCCATTAGAGGTCCCTTTTCTTTCAGTAGGCATAATTTCCCCTCACATTTAATTATACTGCCTTGCTGCTCCATTTTGTTCTGCTATTTCCTTTACATCCAAATTTTCATGTGCTACCGAAAGTACAGACCTCTCTCAAAAATCAGAAGCCAGCTTGCAAGGATTTGTTTCCAGTGAAGATCCCAGGACTCTTCTTGCAAAAAGAACAGTCTGATGTTGTGGTCAAGCCTCAGTTAGGGTTAGTACTGTGTTATTCTGATATACCCCTATCAATTGCTATTGTATTTGGCATAGTTTTTATTTCTTACTTTTGACTGCTCTTGATTCTTACCATGTTACCTCATTCCACAGAGAACAGTTGCATTTCAGCAACCTCCAAGGATTTGCTTTAGAGTGCTTTGTCATGCACTGCAGTCCTGCCAGTTGGGAGATCTGTGCTGAAGAGGTAGGGCCATTGAATAATGTTAGCTCTGAGGAGGTCCCTGGGACAAATTCTGCCTCTCACTAACTCCTGTATACCAAAATGAAGGATATTTTTCAGTTTAAGATTTGGGGGTTGAATCCTATAAGTTGTAAACACATGGTACAGAGGCAAAGGGCTCTTTTGCCGGTCTTGCTCCCACTGTGCTGTGGGGTTCAATCAAAGAGCTTGTGTCTGCTTAAAATTAACAACAAACAAACAAACATGCTTCGCTTTCACAACCTGAAAACCTAATCACAACTAAAAAGTTACAGGAACCCTGTGTACCGTGATGGAAACTTCATTAAGTACCACACCCTGAAATTACATAGTCACATTTGAAGGGAACAAAATCTGTGGCAGAAATAGTAATTTTGGCCATGAAGTGTGAACAACTCCCCTATCTATCCTGCAAGTAAATAGGATCTTTAACTTATAGAATACAGAATATAGAATAAATAGAAATATATTTTAAGAAAGAACTATTCAGATGGATAGCCAGGATAGCTGAAGTGAATTCTATTGGCTGAAGACTGAACTGATTATACTAATATTTGAATTTGCAGTTTTAGGGGCTCTAGTTCTTCAGATGCTTTTAAAACAGTTCTTCATGTGAAAACTGGAGTTGTGGAGTTGTAGCACATACAAATTTCCTAGCAGTGAAGCTCAGATCTGCTGTATCAGAACACTGAGAGGTTTAGAGCTCTGGATCAGTTATCAGGAGAGTGTTTTTCTTACCTCCAAAGACATTGTCAAGCATTTGTTTCCTAATCATACAGATTATTACTGCTACAAAAGCAATCGATAGAAAGGCTCCCAGAGTAACTCCTATGATAACATATGTGAAATCTGAAAAAATTAAAAACAAACAAGTAAATATACACAATTATATAGTAAACACATCTATTTGTATTCCAAGTGTGATAAGACCAAGATTCCGAAGTTCAGGTGGATCCTTCTTTCTGTCTGTCTGTCTGTCAGCCCCTGCACATCAGGAACCTGCCATGTCCTGGGTCTGTGGGGTTTGATGAAGTCTGAAGTTTAGCCTGCAGCACGGTTAGCCCTTGGGGCCTACAGGCCTCAGCTGAGTTACAGAGTGGGGCCTCTACATATTTTCCCAAATGACCTTCACCAGCCCCACTCCCTTGCCACTCCCTGTCTTCCCTCACACATGTGGGGGTTGCAGCCCACACATGCGACAACTTGAACATCATAGCTCAGTCCTCAGCATCCTGCTGTGCCTGACTAGTTGGTCCATCTGCCCTTAAGTCTTTCCTAGCATAAAGCAGGTGATTTTTTAAGTGTAGATGATGAACCCTATTGTGTTTTTGCATCCCTGTGTGCTTCTGCATCCCTGTGTGCAACCCAGGGTCTGCTTTTGGCTGTCAGACTGAACAGTGCTTCTGTTCAAGACTCATCTGCCATCCCTGTGCTCATTATTATTTACTCCAAAGGCCCTCCTTAAGAGGACAGGACTCTACTGCTCTTGACAAAGTACAAACATGCAATGGGCAAATACTCTTCTATATATAAAAGTACATTCTTAGTACATGCATTTTTGTTATATTTTCTTTGAACCCAATGTCTCTTCCTGCCTAGAAGTAAATATCTCACCATGAACTCACCTATTTCCTCATCTGAATTTCCAGAGGCACAGACTTTTGCTCTCCAAAAATCTGAAATGGAAATGGTGCAGCCAGTTAGGATTCATTTAGCTCCATATGATGTAACTCCATGTAGTTACATGAGGTTTACAGAGAATGAGAGGGCTTCAAATGCAGGTGTAGGCCCTGCTTTTTAGAGCAGCAAGCTACAAAATTTCTATCTTCTGCATATGCTTGGGGCAGAACATGGAGTTCTTTCCCACTTTGACTGCTGGGCCGACACCAAAGAAATAATTTCCACATCCCAGCCTCTGTCTCAAACAGATTTCTTTCTATTTCCTGGCCTTAGTTATATTTCTAATCCTAAATTTTCACAGATATTGAGCCAAGATCCAAAAATCTGGAGAGCAGTTAAAAAAAAAAAAAAAACATGTTTTAAACCAAATACATTTTGGGAGGTATATTTCTGAGCTAAAATTATTTTATTTTCCTCCCAATCTTCCTCCATAAGCAAAATGGCTGCAAAATTATTTTATACACGCAGGAACATACTCCATCACATGACACGCAGCGATGGGAATCGGAAGCATGAGGGAGGGAACTCCAATCACAGATATGATCCCAAGAGCTGACCACTCTACATGATCAAAATCAAAGTTACAAGAGAAGGAAATAATAAAAAAGTCTAAGACTATGCAGTGGGTGTGGAAGCATAGCTCCTGATTTGCTAGATTAAAAAACGGTTTCTTAGCTATCGCTATTGCCTATGAATTAATTTCATTATAAACCAAAAAAAAAAAACCTTTTTCTTCCGTCTCCTCAGTTATTCTTTGTATTCATATGAAGAATGTTTTAAATTCAAACATAATAAAAGTGATATTGTATTACTTTTATTATCCTAATGATTATAATGCATAGATCTTAATGTATGCTTTCTAATGGAATTAAACCAGTGACAGATTATGTGTTTTATGGCAGAAATAATATTTTACATGGAATATTTTATGTAGGTCAGTTTAATATATTGAGATTTAATTATTAGTTTCTTTTTAAAAAAGGAAAGGAAGAAAATCTCTGAAATAGAGATCTGCTCACAGAAGTAGAATATTTTCAGTTCATAGTTTCAATATAGTTTTAATTAAGTTTTAATACCATTTACTGGGTGTTGCTCAAACACCAATTGCTTCTGAGGACTGAGTGTGGAACAGCCAGCTTCTGTTTGCTTTGGTTTCTCCTTAGGTAGAATGAAGTGGATGGACATGGTTAAAGACAGCACACGCATGTCACTGTTTAATCTGGACACCATCTTCAGTTCAGATCTCATGGGGAGATACACAAGCAACACAGCACAGAGCCATTAGAATGGAGGGTAATATTCTGTAGTACTCCTAGCCTTGTTGCAAAAAAGAAAAAAAAATCTCCTAAATAAGCTTTCTGAATTTGGAGAATATTTGCTCCTAGGTCAAAGAATTTTGCAAGTTAATTCAATTTTGGCATTTGAGTGAATGGGGATCAGACTCAGCAGGAAAGGGAAGGACAGGGAAGAGGTAAATGCAGATTTTCCCTGACACCATGGCTGAGGAATGAGGTGTTATCAGGTACATTGGGTGCAGCTGAGGAACTTGTTCCTCTGGGCCCACCACAATCCCCTGCCAGTGGAGCAGCTGAGTGAGTGATCAACAGGTGTATAAATACACTAGGTTGGGACGAGACTGGGAGCTTTTGGTCTGTAGTTTCTGGGAGTTTCTGCAGCCTTGGTTCTCCTCAGGTCCTCTGTGTGTGGCGAGGAGTTGTGCAGAAAATTGTTCGGCCCCCTGCACCAGGAACTGAGGGCCGTCCTGCTCTGCTTGTGCTGTGTAAGTTTGTTAATGCGGTGCCCTGTCCTTGGGGTCGAAACAATGAGAAATGTCCTATGGAGCTGGGACACAGGCTGTGCTCTGAAGGGAGCAGGAATAGCCCATTTTTCCCACCTTATTAAGTAAGCAATGTGAGTGATTTTTAGTCCTGACCTGCAGAGATAAACAGTAACAAATGTGCCTTGTGTTCCTCAGTGCTCAGCACCTACACTAGTCCCTTTTCTCCTCTGCCTTCTAATTCTGGTACCTATACCCATATGAAATATGGATGTGTATATTTAAAAACATTTTTTCTCCTTTATTTTCTCAGGTTTTTCCCTCTGCCTTCCCATTACAGCAGGCTATAGGAGGTCATGGGACATTGCAGTAGCCGGGGGTTCTGTGCCCCTTGTCCTGGGGGCAGCAAACGGGTAGATGGGGAAAGAAGCAAATATCTGGGAACCTAGAGTCAAGGTGGAAAGGATGAGATGGCTGACGGTGAGTATTTGAGCAACTCCAGAGACAAATATGGAGTGCCGGTGATAACAATACAGAGGCTTGAGGAAATTATTGTGTTGGAAACTATTGCTGAAAGCTGTCATTAGAAGAAGGAAAAGTATTTTGGCTGGTACTTAGTGCAGCAAAATCCCCAGCTGCTCATGGGGCTTTGTAAGATGGGCAGTGTTAGCATCCTGATAAATGAGATCCTTAGTCAGCAAATTAAAGGCTTGGTTTGGTAGTAATAATGTATGAGTAAAGAGTCACTGCCACATGGAATAGGAACTTGTTGAACTCTATTGAATGTCAGGCTCCCCCTAATTAAAAGACCATAAACGTGGCATTGCTTGCACCTTTTCATGTGATACAGGGTGTGTTAATGCAATTTGTTTGTTTTCTTTGCAAATGCGTGTGCTATAGAGCATGCTTGGCTGCTCTTGTTTGCATTCCTCTGTTTCCTCTGAGCAAATACTATTGCATTAATAGGACTTGTGCTGTTGATTGTTTTTGTGCAATTTGTGCACATTTTCTGTGCAGGAGTTAAGGTGCAATTGTTGCTGACTTTCTCTTCCCATCTGTAATAACTGAAGCTGGTTACCCATGCCCCTGTCCTGCATGGGGAACAACCTCTACTCCCCTGGACTGTTGGAAGTGCCTGTGAAAAGGTGCAGAGCTCTCAATATCTCAACAGAAGGAGAGGGACAACTAAATTTCCAGTATACGCTGTGAAAGGGAAGACAAGGACCTGTTAGGGCCGTTTTACCCTGTTGCCTTTGAAAAGGACAAGGAAGATGCTCTGTTGTAGACCTGTGGAGAGCGCAGCTTTCAGAATCCAAGAGGGAAGCAAAGATCTCCTTTGATCTCCTCAGATCCGAGAGAGGAGCAGTAGATGAAAGCTGGAGCTGCTGGTCCACCTGCCTTGGGTGGCACAAGCTGCACTCGTGCGATCTCCCCAGATAGATGAGGATTTTCTATGGGTTTGAGGGGGTTGTTTTGTTTTTCCCCAAAAAAGTAGGCTGTCACAGAAGTTGTCCCTCTAGTGACCATTAGGCTTTTGCCACCAGAGGGTGCCTGCCCCCACTGCCAAACCTCTTGGAGACCGCGGTTACAGAGGTGCCCCCCGCTCCGTGTTTATCTGCTGCCCCATCTGTTCCTCATTACCTCATTACCTCATTACCCTCCTCATATGACTCCTGCTGGCCTTTGCTGCCCGTGTACCCTGCTCATGCCCTGCACAAACTGGGGGTGAGCAACCATGAAGCAAGAGGTGAGCTGTGCAGATGAGGTAGCCCTGCTCTGGGCTCGCAGGAAGCAGCAGAAGCAGCAGCCTGAGTTAAGAGTATCTAGGCTAGAGTCACGGTGACCAAAATAACTTGCAGACAGCGTGCACACAGACTAACATTTTCCTTATACTCTACCAAAGTAGTATTTACTGCACAGTGCCAAAGAGGATGCTCAGAAGCTCTCACCATGTCACCGGTAAAGGTACATAAATTTAACTTAGTCTTTTGGACTGTGCAGAGCTCATCTTTTAGTACTGAGGCTAGGAAACAGTGGCTAGAAAGCTCAGCAGAGTGCCACACTATCCCAGCAAATCTTCCTTCTCCAAGAAAGAGTGATCTAAACAAAGTTTATAGTAACATAAATGCAATCCGACTGAGAAATAATTTCCCCAGTCTTAGGAGAGTGGAAAGTCCTCTAAATGGATGGAAAAGCAATAAAATAGATCACTTACGTAAGAGAAGAAGAAACGTTGTTAAGATTGATATCCAACTCGTTAGAAAGATCATTTTGAGGTTTTGGCAATGGAGTGATTTCACAGAAATTCTCTGGATTTAGCTCTTTTCTGGTGTCTTTATAAAAAAAGAGAAGGAAAAAAAAAAAGAGAAAAAAAAAAAAGGCCAGGTCACGTGTCTATATTAGGAAACAAGTCACATCCTGAATAGCTTTGCAAACAGAAGTTCCTTTTTTGGGTTTAAGTTCTATGTAGAAATAAACTCCCTGCTTGAAAATGTTCTATGGAGATGGACAGCCAACAGTCAGTTATTTAATGCATTAAAAATATATATAATTTTAAGTGCTAATAATTATTTTTACAAAGCTGATAAATAATACTGTAATGAATTGGTCTCTGAAGAAGTCTCCTGTATCTTTTACAGGAGGAGTCTCCTATATTTAAAAAAAAAAAAAAAAAAAAGCAAGGTTCAAGGTGGGGGCAGGGGCAAGTTCTTACTGGCAGGTGATGCTTTTAGTTAAGTCAGGATTATTGTTTGAATCACAGTGCAAAACAGCCCTTCCTGTCCTTTAATAAAATTCACACTTCAAATTCACCTGTTCTAAATGACAGCAAAACATGTAAGTAAATATTAATGTTTCTTCTGAACCCTTCCTTATAAATCATTTCAGGTCCATCCATCAGGAATGGTAAACGTGAGAACATGAGCCTCACTTATGTCATTTTGGGCTTCTCCAGAAGCCCCAGTTGACATTTGCTAGTTGTCTCTTGATATGCCTTACTCCTTTGAAGAGCCCTTTGCTGCTTTGTATCATCATGTGGGTGAAATTCCAGTCAAAATAATCTTACATACATTCTGAATGAGAGGTGTCATGGGGGAAACTCTTAAGTACTTCTTTCTCTTCCTGCTGGTATGGGCATGTATGAGCAATCTGGTCTGCAAAGAATCTTGCCTCTTAAGACTGGATGAAACTTGTCTTATTGAATAAATTATAGCTGAAAGTACACTTCCTACTTAAATTATAGCTGAAAGTCATCCTTCCAGAAGTCTATTTTAAATGGGAGCATTGTAGACACTAGGAGTTGAATAAAGCCATTTGGACTCAAAAATGGCTATTGATCACAAACGTTTAGTTGCTCTGACAAGCTGTGAGTGAAACCATCTTTTTGTCCTTTTATTTGTTTTTGAAGAATAAGCAAAATAAGATGTTGTCCTGCAAGTAAGGTTCTTGGAGCAGTGAAATACAAGGAAAGACCCATCAATCTCCAAGGTGACCTTAATTCCAGGGTCATTTTGTTATATGGAACACAGGTAGAACTGATGGAATGCGACAGATGTAAGAAAACTTTGCTTAGACCATCTTAGTATATATTATATATAGAACAGATAATTTGTTAATATTATCTATATTTTGTTGCTGTTCTTTCAGTGCTCCAGTTTCAGATATGAGAATGTGCTCACTTCCCTCAGTATCTCTGGACCATCTTGGGGGAAAAGATATTAGGAAAGCACTGGGGTTTCCTACCGAAAGCCTATCTCATGCAATTCATAAGTGAATGAACCCAGTGTTCCAAAATTCCTGAGAACCTCCCATGGAAACAATGACATGAGTATCAACATGTGTGTGTGTTTTGTTTGTTGTTTTTGTTTTTCCCAACTCTATGGCCTCACGGGGTTCTTATGATCTAGAGAAACAACTAAATATTTAATTATCTCAGTATTTGGCTGAACTCCTTGGTTTATTCTGTTACTATTGCTTCCCAAAATGCTTGAGGCTGCTCAGCTAACTGACTATGCACTGTTGCCTATGCTTCACTATGCTTATCTTTAGCATCTATACCATCAATGAGGAAGAGCACTTCACCAGAATAAGCCAAGCTTTGTAATCTTCTACTTTATACCAGGTTTTATTCCGATTCTTGACCAAAGCCCAAAATGTAGTTTCAAGCACAGTCATCGTTATCAGCATCCCTTCCATTACCCATTCTCCGCCATCTGGCCACTGGGCAGGATATATACGTTTAATTAATTCTACTTTTACCTTCGACCTGTAATTAGTGGGAGTAGCGTCAGATTTATATGTTATATGAATAACAAGGATTTCTCTGGAGACCGTATCCTGGTGAAAGGGGCTAACTGTAATTTTCAGCCGTGAGTAATTGTATATAATATAATCCTAAATGATTTTTCTTCTGTAATTTCATTAGAGTTTAGAAATTTAATTAGATTTTGAATCACTCTGAAATAAAGTAGCAAAACACCCAGAGACTAAGAGCAGTGGTTATTTTGTCCTCCGAGACCAGAATTCTTGGTCTCAAATTGGCATGTGTTCATTAGGAGGAAGTTTGCAGAAGTTCTTGATATATTATTGTCTTTCAGAATGGACTCTGAATAGGTCTTTGGAGAGCATTAGAAGAACACACGATTATTATACAGACTCTTTTTGAGGTTTAAGATCATCTGCCTTGCATATACTTAATAAAAATCTGCCTCTAAAGTTGTTTAAGAAACTGTGGAGATAGGGAAGATGCTCCTCCAGTGCCTCAGTGCTCTTTCTGGTTTATTAGCAGCTCCAGTACCTGTGTATGATGATACAGAGAGGAGTTGTTTGCCTTACTGTAATGATTAGGTAGGTTTATGGTTATTTTTATCACTGCACATATGAACTATCACGGTGGCTGTAAATAGAGGCACACTAAAGTGCCACTTCTTCCTGTCCACCTGAGGTTCAAATGAAGTCTGTCCTTCTGGCAAGCTTTGATTTATACTGCTGAATTCTAAAAGATATCATGCCTTTAGAAGCCTATCTTCTAAAGCTTTATATGTATGGCAGTGTTTGTTTTCTCACTGGCATTAGTTGCTTGAATGAGGACTATTTGCTTGACTTTGTCCTTTAAAGAGCAAAATTACTAGTACAGACTTAGGCCGGGGATAGTAACAAACTGAGGAATGACAGAAAGTTTAAATTTTCTTTCAGCATGGAGGCAAGATGAGGAACTATAGCAGAGCCATAGACAGCATGAATAAAGAGAGATGTCTAGACTGAAAGGGGAGGGATCACAAGTGCTGTGAAATGAAGAATTCCAGTAAGCCAAACCAACCAAAAAAACAAAATGGTCTGTAAATAAGGAAAGTCCACCCCAATTGGAAGAGAATACCAGAGGAATTTCCCATGTAATGGGAATGTGTCAATCCCAACGTGAAAATTCAAGCAGAATCTTCCAGGCTGGTCAGAGTATCAGTTACTGACCTCTCCAGGTAACAGCATCTCTCCATTGGCAGCATCCTCTGGATTCTGCAGGCAGAAAATGGGGTAAGGTGGTTCATTGATCTGATACAAAGGGCCATTTCCTGCATCCATTAGCAGCTGTCAGGGAGCGGTCAGCATCCCACTGATCCGAGCCTCGGGCCAGCAGCCTGCCCTCAGGCTATGGCCAAGTAAAGCTTGGAGTCCCTGTAGGAAGAAAAAGATGAAATACTTGAACACCCACTTTGATGGGCATTAATGCATCTTAGGCAACCTCAGGGTGATTTGGTGTGTGTGGTTGTGCTGCCTTCCATTAATCCATCATGTCACGTCACAGAGCAAATTGAAGAAAACATGTTCAGGCTGGTTACTGCCAAAAATCGAGGTTCTTTTGCGATGGGCATCCGGAACAAATTGCAGCTATGTTTGAAACCTCACAGCTGCTCTTCCTTTGCTATTTGCTCAGTCTCCTCCTCTGTCAGGACTCTGAGCTGCTGGGACAACTGGGAAAGAGTCCGGGTTTTAGCAGGTCAATCCCAGATGTCGAATGTGTTGACAAAGGAAACGTGCCTACCCCAACTATTTAGTGCTTTCTTCACTTGACGTTGAGGAATACTGTCAGTAACTATTCAACATCTTAGTCTTACTCATATCTTTTCTTTCTGCATCCCTATTTTCAATATGAAGGAATATACCATGTTAGAGATGTTCATTAAAAAAAAAACTGTTTTTATTTTATTTGAGGGACACTATAGTTCAGTGCTATCACCAAAACAGAGAGAGGTGCAAGGAGATGAGGAAAAAAAAGACTTGGGACACAGATATTCGTTCTGAGCATGAAGCATCAGGAAAGAAAATGCCCAAGTTGTGCACGGCTCAGCTGGGCAGTCTTTTCAATTGGCAGAGATTGTTTCCCAGGTCTTTCTCTGGTCTCACAAGACTTAACAGATTTTGTGGGGTCCCTCAAAGAAATTGTTACCTACTGAGGTTTGGTACATCTCTTGCTTATATTTTCCCTACCAGGTGGACTTGTGCTTTTCATGCCATTAGTCTTCACCTTTGTTTTATTATTCCTTGTGCCTCAGTGAACAGAAAGGTTTTTTTTACATTTCTAAACCTAACTGATTCTTTGCTATGTTGCATCAGGAAAAAAAACAAATAATACCAGAAAGTGACTGATTCCATGGTGAAAGAAAGTGCCCATCATTTTCGGAATCTGTACATCTTTGAGGTTATCACACAGCAACTAGCACATTATGTGCTGAGTTGAGGCATAGGTAGGTACACAAATTTAGTAGAAAACAAAGACCATGGGTGGTGATGACGTTTTCCATCTCCCACTACCCAACTTCTGCTTTAGAGGTTTCCTTTCTGGTTTTGGAGATCTAAAAAAATTCTAGGGGAGGTATCTTCCTCAGTACAATTAAACATGTAGGCATGTTCTTAAGCTTACATTTGCTGACCTTTAAGTGTAACCTTTAAGTGTATTCTGTATCTTCATAAGTATTTGTAGCCCTCAGCTCAAAAGAATAAGGAAACTTGATCTCTTATTTATCTCTAAACATTAGCAGTCCAATCTGTAGCATCTTGTATAGAACGTTTATAAAAGCTGGAGACAAACTGTCTAGTATGAAGCAGTTTATTTAGATAAAAAGTTTAAGAATATTGAATCTTCCAGGCTTCTCATGAAGGCACCAGCTGGTCAGCTGGTTAGCTGCAAAAGCCTAGAAGTAGGAAGACGTGTTCGTGCTTGAGATGACTGGCAAGTATTTTAGTTAAGGAGAAAGGAAAGGGGTCAAGAGCCTTCCTTAGGGTCCATGAGTCACTGGGAAGCATTAATGT